ACCGCATGCAGACGCAGCCACTGGGGCCTTCGGTGGAGCTCCCTATGGGGCCACGAAACGTGTGAGGGGTGTGCCAGAATGGGGGGTGGAACCGCATGCGGGCGCAGCCACTGGGGCCTTCGGTGGAGCTCCCTATGGGGCCACGAAACGTGTGAGGGGTGTGCCAGAATGGGGGGTGGAACCGCATGCGGGCGCAGCCACTGGGGCCTTCGGTGGAGCTCCCTATGGGGCCACGAAACGTGTGAGGGGTGGCCAGAATGGGGGGTGGAACCGCATGCGGGCGCAGCCACTGGGGCCTTCGGTGGAGCTCCCTATGGGGCCACGAAACGTGTGATGGGTGTGCCAGAATGGGGGGTGGAACCGCATGCGGGCGCAGCCACTGGGGCCTTCGGTGGAGCTCCTTATGGGGCCACGAAACGTGTGAGGGGTGTGCCAGAATGGGGGGTGGAACCGCATGCGGACGCAGCCACTGGGGCCTTCGGTGGAGCTCCTTATGGGGCCACGAAACGTGTGAGGGGTGTGCCAGAATGGGTTGGGAGGGGGAGGAGGGGGGAGGAGGGAGGGAGGAAGGAGGCGGGAACGCGGGGCACCGTCTCTTCAAAACGAGGACCCAACACCACAGGATGGTTGGGAACTAAGTTCATGGAGACTCGTGGCACGAAACGCACGCACAAGCACAAAACACATCACGCACAATAAAAGATTGGAAACACACCTCCGAACGCAAGCTCCTTGAACCAATACTGCATGACCCCGTCGCCAGCATGTTGTTGTTGTTGTTGTTGTTGGGGGGTATGCACGCCCGGACGGCGGCCCCCGCCGACCTATCAGAAGACGAAGCGCAGAGGCCGACACGAGATACCCGCCAGGAGGAAGGGGGAGGCGGAGCAGGAAAAGGGGGAGGAAGGGGGAGGAGGGGGAGGGGGAGCCGGGGAGGAGAGGATATCCCGTAGCGGGCCACAGGGACACCCGAACACTCGTTTGCGCAGGGTCCAAATGGTGGGCGGTTCCCCCTTGAAAAAGCGGTTGGGATCACCGTGCGCCCGTACATCCCAGACAATGTACACAACATAATCGCGTACCACACACACACTCATGAGTACGCACAGAGTACACTCATGATCCGTTTATGAGTACGCACAACACAACACACGGTACCATACACAAAGTACATACACGCACAGTGCGTATCCGTTTATGCGACTCCCTGTCCATGCGACGTGCCCTCCCATACGGTTCGCAAGCGGCCTGGATCCTCCGAGGTTGCATCACATGCCAACAGGGTGCAAGACCCCCACCCAAAGAGGCCCGGCGCAAGACCGGACCCCGGCGCAGCGGGCGGCCCGAAGGCGAAGGCGGCACAAGCAACCAAGCGAGAACACGGGCGCGCACAGCTCGCAGCTTGGCGAAATACAGGATTACGCTCGAAACCCGCCAGATCCCGGACAACGTACACAACATAATAGCGTCCCACACACACTCATCCCAGACAACGTACACAACATAATAGCGTAGTACACTCAACGGTACCATACACAATGTACATACACGCACAGTGCGTATCCCTTTACGCGACTCTCCGTCCATGCGACGTTCCCTCCCATACGGTTCGCAAGCGGCCTGGGTCCTCCGAGGTTGCATCACATGCCAACAGGGTGCAAGACCCCCACCCAAAGAGGCCCGGTGCAAGACCGGACCCCGGCGCAGCGGGCGGCCCGAAGGCGAAGGCGGCACAAGCAACCAAGCGAGAACACGGGCACGCACAGCTCGCAGCTCGGCGAATTACAGGATTACGCTCGAAGCCCGCCAAAGTTCCCCCACCCACCCTCCGAGAAATGCCAGAAGAACCAAACGTTTCCAAACTGCTCGGTAGCCACTGGCGTCCCTGGTCGCCTGGCCAAAACATGTAAGGTCGACACCTTAGGACCGGCAGCGCGCCGCACAGTAACCCGCGCTCCACCTACACCAGGGTGCGGTGGTCAGGCGCCCCCCAGCGCTAACGACTAGTGTGTGGCCAGGGGAGATGCCCGAAGACATCAACCGCCCCCGGCCCAGGGACTGTCGAGTGATGCCCTCCCGCCCTGGCAGGAGACACGAGCAAGAACAAAAGGAACGAACGACCCAGGGCACAATGCGCACAGCGGAGTCGGCGTCCATCCGCTGTGCACTGCAGGGGTTTGCCGTGCCGGCTCGCGCAGCATTTCTGAAAACCATGGACTAGTCTCCATCCTATGTAGCCGGCCCGTTGCCCCACGACCCGGCCGGGCGGCCTGGGCATCCAGGGGTCTACATTATCACAAGCGCGCTAAACGAGGCACAGTAGCTCCTTTCCGACTCGGCGGTCTGTGGACGCGCCGGTCGAGATGGCGAGTCTCGACCCGACGCCGCGGCCCAAGGAGCAGGGCGTGGGGCGGTGAGGGTCAAAACCGCGCCCTACGCTGAAGAGTCTGAGCACGAACAACCAAACCAGTACCACACAGCCCAAAAGACCCTCCTTCGCAAAACAACTATAGTTCATGGAGACTCGTGGCACGAAACACACGCACAAGCACAACACACATCACGCACAATAAAAGATGGGAAACACACCTCCGAACGAAAGCTCCTTGGACCAATACTGCATGACTCCCGATCGCCAGCATGCTTTCGCGGCCGTGCTTGAGCTCTGTCTGGCTTCTCCTGGAGATGCGCTCCGTGCCACTATCCGCCGAGAACCCGGCAGGGTCCCAGAAGTCGGTACTTGCCGATGCAATCTGGCACGCAGCCAGAAGACAAACTCCCGCGAGCACTCGCCGGAGCGACCACCCACAGGGGGATCCTGCACCACGCGATTCCCAGGTGGGCAGTAGGTTGCATAATGATACATGACTGCTCCTTCCCACACACACACACACACACACACCGCAGGCCAAGGAGGCCCACAGCAATCCACATAATCCAGTCGCGGCGCCACCAGCGGCACCCACCCAGGGCGAACCTCGTGAAAACGACCTGGAACCCTGGCGCATGCCTGTAGGCATCGCATGCCCGTCGACGCCGATGAACACGGTTATGGTCGACAATCCGCAACTCGTAAGATTCAACTGAGAGCGGCAAAGGCACCGCACGCTTAATTCACAAAAGATGAAGACAACCACGACGCAACGTTTGAACCCCAGTGTGGATCATGTAGAAGTCGAGCTGGTCCTAGTTATAGGGAGCCGGTTTCATTGCAAACGAGAACACGGAGAACAAACGATACGGGCACCGTGAAGATTATGTCGAACACCAGATGCTGGCGTCAGTGCTGGTGTAGGCGCTGGCGTCAGTGCCGGCGTAGGCGCAGACGTTGGGGCGTGTAGGCGCCGGCGTCGGCGCCGTCGTAGGCGCTGGCGTTGGGGCTGGCGGCGGTGCTGGCGTCGGTGCTGGTGTAGGCGCTGGCGCTAGTGCCGGCGTAGGCGCATGCGTTGGTGCTGGCGTCGGTGCTGGTGTAGGCGTTGGCGTCGGCGCTAGCATAGGCGCCGGCGTTGGTGTCGGCGTCGGTGCTGGCGTCGGTGCCGCTGCAGGCGCTGTCGTTGCAAGCGTCACACTGTGGAGGAATCAACTGTAAGCCTCGCTGTTGAAAAAGGGCCGCATCAGCGGCAGCGCGTAAGCCACCCAGGCGTTCTGTAAAACCATCGCTGACGATGCACATGGTGTAGCTCACGGGGAGAACGTCTCCTGCGCCTCAGAGGCATGCATTCTTGTGGGCTCAGGGCCCATAGCAAAGTATGTCTCAAGGACGTGCTACTGGCCGACTCACGGCACTGGGAAGCACCGTCTCGCCTCCGCAACTGCGTTCACCCCCGGCATGCTTCCCAACAGTTGCATCAACGGCGCCGGGGACCCGGCAGGGTCCCAGAACCCCGCGAGGGCCTAGCCGCCCTGGGCAGGCCCGCAGGCCCCAAAGGAGGCGGCAGCCGCCAGCGCGGCAGCAGCGGCGGCCACAGCGGCCGCCGCGGCGGCGTCGGCCGCGGCAGGCCCCAGCGCGGCCGCACGAGCCGCGGCACCTCGGGCCGAGCTGCAGGCGGCGGCGGCGGCGGCCGCGTCGGCGGCGGCCGCGGCGGCCACCCCCTCCAGAGGCGCCAGCGGCAGCGGCGGCGGCGGGCCGGCGGAAGCCGCGGCAGGCCGTGCGGCGGCGGCGGCCACCGCGGCCGCGGCCGCGCCAGCCGCCGCGGCAGCGGCAGCCGAAGCGGCGGCGGCAGCAGCCGCCGAGTCCAGGGCGGCCGCGCGCGCGACGGCGGCCGCAGCATCCGCGGAGCAGCCGCCCGCCGCGGCGGCGGCGGCGTCGCCAGCAGCGGCCGAGGCGGCAGCGGCAGCGGCAGCGAACGTGGCCGACATGCGGCAGGCGCCAGGGCCGCCGGCGGGGGCCGCAGCGGCGGCAACAGCGCACGCCGCCGGCGGCGGCGGCCGCAGGGCCAGCCGCGGCAGGGCTGGCCGGGGCAGCCGGCGGCGCCAGCCCTGGGGGCGGCGCGCCGCGCAAGGCGGCCCCGTGCCGCTGGCGGCGGCGGCGGGCCGACCGCGACACCGCCGCGCCAGCGGCCGCAGCGACCGCGGCGGCGCCGGCTGGCGGGAGTCGCCTTTGCGCGCCCAGCATGGCACCAGAGGGGGCGGAGGCTGGGACGGGCCCCCCTTCCCAGCCCCCCCCAGGCAGGCGAGCCGGAGGCAGGGGCCACCCCGAGCTCGGCGAGCGGCCGGCTCGGCACTTGAGCCAGAGCGGCCTTGAACCATAGGCTTGAGCCAGAGGGGGCGACGGACACACACACACACACACACACACACACACACACACACACATACACACACACACGAGCACAGACAGCTGATCCTACACATGCACACATACACATTGCATACCCACACACACACACACAACGCACATGATGCATGAAAGCAGGCGGATCTCTTTCATCCCACGCATAATTACATGTGTTCATGCTGATGTGCCCGTGTAATGTTTGTGCCGTTGTTTCTTCTTCTAGCCCAGACGGCCCCGTCGACGTCGAAGGTGGACCAGGTGCCCGCGAGCCTGGAGCAGGTGGTCAGCGGCGCTCCTTCAAGACCCCTCATGCCGTGCAGCGACCTCCCCGACGACCGATTCGAGGGTTTTCTCGCCCACGCCCTCGGCGAGCTGCAGAGGAGCGTCTTGAGTGAGCACGAGCGCGTCGTGAAAGCGATGCTCCAGGGGGGCTCTGGCCCCGAGCCCACTTTCCACGAGGCTCCCGCCGCACTTGGTCCCGAGGCAGTCGGAGACCAGGCGTCGCCGCGAAGCTGCGGGTCCTCGATAGAGCAGGTGGTGTCGGATTCCAGGAGGTCTTCGGAGACTGCACTCATGACGCGCACGGCGTCCTTGAACATTCGCACGGCGCCCAAGTCTCGCGAAGCTCTGCAGAATGCCGACGGATCCAACTCGGCACCCATCAAGGCCGAGACCTGGGAATCGTTGGCCACATTCCTCAAGGTCGACTCGCGAGGGAGGTGCCCAAGAGAGGTCTCACAGGAGCGCCTCAGGAAGAGACGCGACGAGCGCCACGGGAGCGCCAGAGCCTTTATGGGCCGGCTGGAGTCGCAGTCGCATGAGAGCATGCTAGGCACCAGGCGGAAGAAGCCCAGCGAAGGGGATCCGAAGATGCACCACGTACCATCAGATGGTCACAATGGCGACTTCGCTCTGCTGGACATCTGGCAGAGCGCGGTGGATGTGATGTCGAAGCAAGGCAGCGCATGGCGCCGTTCTGCGATGGCACGTGCAGTATCAGACGGCTCGGCGTACACGGCGTCCACCCAGCCAGAGAGCAAGTTCCCCGAGGCCAAGGACGCGGGGAGGTCGCCGTGGAGGAACTTGCGGTGGTGGCTCATGTCGCCCACATGTAAGAGGCGGTTAGTCTGGGACGCCCTGTCAATGCTCTGCATCCTCTACGATATGGTCATGGCGCCACTAGAATTCCTGAACGAGAGTTGTCTTCATCCCTCCGCCAGATCGCCGTTGGCTTGGATGATACTGCTGTTCTGGACTCTGGACATCCTCGCTTCCTGCGCCTCAGGCTTCAGGAGCAACATTAGGGGGGATAGGCTCAGGGGGGGATACATCGCCCACTGATTGCCGATGGGGGCCCGATAGTCCACCTCGCCCAGGGACGTGCGGCTTCGCTATCGGAGTCATCTCGCCGACCCACCCGCGATACATCGCCGATTCCAGGTCGATGTTTACCCCCCGGAGCCAGTCCCCCCCTAACGTTCCCCCTCAAGGCTACACCCGGCCGAATGGCACTGAAGTCTACGAGCTCCGGTTGATCTGGAAGCGCTACGCATCGTCCTGGTTGTTGCCGGACGCGGCCATGGTCGGTGCAGACTGGACGGAAGCGCTGGTTCACAACGATTTGCCGACAGGGTGGCGTTTGCTCCGGATGATGCGGCTGCTGCGGTTGCTGCGGCTGAAGAGGTTCCTCTCGCTCCTGGTCATGCGCATGCAGTCGGAGCGCGCGGCCCTGGTGTTCGGCAGCGCCCAGGTACTTCTGGGCATCCTGTTCCTCGCCCACGGCATGGGGTGCTTGTGGGCTGGGCTCGGCATGTCTGCGGGCGCCCATCGAAGAAGAAAAAACGGCATAAACATAAACTGTCAGAGCTCCGAGAGTTTACGTTTTTGCAGATTTTCCTTCTTCTAGGTCTGAGGGTGCCCAAGGGTGGGTCTACCATGCCGCCGGAGGTGACGAGCTGACCAGCGGGCAGACGTATTTGCTGGCCGTGCACTGGGCCCTCACGAACTTCGCGGGCACCGTCAACCTCGGGCCCCGGTCGTGGAGGGAGCGCATTTACGCCATATTCTCGCTCGTGTTCGGCTTCTTGGTGGCGTCCGCGTTCGTGTCGATTATCACCTCCAACATGACGCGTCTCTCCATCCTCGCGAGCAGGAGGGCGGGGGAGTTCAAGGACCTGAACACCTACCTGCACGAGCGCGGGATCTCTCGCAGCCTCAAGAGCCGCGTGCTCCTAAACGCGCAGCACGCCATCGCGGAGCAGGAGGCGCACATCCCCGAGGAGAGCGTGAAGCTGTTGGAGGACCCGAAGAAGACAGAACTGCACAAGCGTAAACCTTCGACTGTCCTCGTGGATTTTTTTGGGATCGGCGCTGGGCCCCCCCCCCCTAGCGGCGACTCCCAGGCCGCTTCTGGCGCGCTCCGCGCGGCACTCAGAGGGTCCGAGGAAGCAAACCATGGGAGCCCTGCATCCCATCGCCATTCCGTTTCCAGAGTGCGTTAGCGGCGACTAGCGTTTGGTAATCGATGGCCGCCGATCTCCTGTCGATAAGCGTCGATCCACGTCGATTCGGAATAGCCAACAAGATGGTATCGGAGGCCCCCATGAGCTGCCACAGAAGGGGGTCCAGCGCCGATCCACGAAGTCCTCGCGGACCTCCAAAGTTTACGCTCACGTCGTTTCCTTGTTCCTCTCAGGACGTGTCGGAGCATCTGCGGCGCGAGCTGCACTTCGAGATCTACGCCGACCACCTGTCCGTTCATCCGTTGTTCGGGCTGCTGAGAAGCAGGAGTTTGCCGATCATGAAGAGGATCTGTCACGAGGCCGTCGTCCCGGTGCTCGTCTCGGAGAACGAAGTCATCTTCAGCCTGGAGGAGGTGCCTTCGGAGCCGCCCCACGTGATCTTCCTGGAGAAGGGGCTGCTGACGTACCAGCTCGGTGGCGGAGCGATCCAGGATGTGCACCCGGGCCAGTGGATCTCGGAGCAAGTGTTGTGGACTGATTGGGTCTACCAGGGCACCCTGTGCAGCGTCACCCCCAGCAGGCTTCTCATGCTGAACTCAATGGTCTTTCAGAATGTCCTGAGCACCAAGGCCCCGCAGGGCACCCTCAGCGCCGAAGTGGCCAAGTACGCGACTGAGTTCCTGAAGCAGCTGAACAGCTCCAAGTACGGGGACCGCAGCGACCTCGGCTCCCACGACGCCTGCGCGCGCCTGGCAGCGCAGTGCTCCGGGACCGACCTGCAGGACTCTACGCCCGACGCGCCCGAGCGGCGCATGTCGGGCTCCTTGGGCATGAACGCGGTGCAGGAGTGTGGGCGGGGCCAGGGCAGGGACGAGTAGCTCCAGAGCGTTCTGGAGTGCTCTCAGGGCGTTCTGGAGCGCCATGGCATGGCCGCGGCGCCCGACACATCCTCCAGAACCGTCGGATCTCAGAGATCCCCGACTGATCCTGGTCCGATTCTGTCCCTGCACTGGCCTCGCCTCAGGAGTCCATGCGCGAGCTGCACAGCTGGCTGGGGACGGCGAGGAGGCCCGAGCAGGGCGCCGAGCCGGGCTTCCGGCCCGACGCGGAGCCCCCACGCAGCTCGGCGTCGCTCGTCCGGGCCTGGCTCCCGTGGGGGCGCCGCCAGAACGCGCCCGTAGCTCCGGCGAGCCCGGCCGCGCGAGGCGAGGCGCCAGCGCTGGCGCCGTGATATCGGCCAGCAGGGCAGGAGGCTGGGCTGGTTCGCCAGGGGGGCAGCGGGTCTTGAGGGCAACCCAGATCGACGAGATGTTTCTTTCAATCCGGGCGAATTTCCTCGATTTCGGCCTGCGGGCTGGCCCTGATCGGTCCCCGGGACCATCAAAAGCGGATCTGGGGCGCGAAGCTACCCCTGGGGAAGAGGTCGGGGCTTCCGGGGCCGCGGTTTGACCAAAAACAAAAAAAACAACAACAACAACAACAACAACAACAACAACAACAACAACAACAACAACCACAACATCATCAACAACAACAACAACAACAACAACAATCACTTTACCCGAACGCTCAGTGTTCTCACCAGTGCCAGGGTTTTCATGCGACGCCAGCCAATACCCCCACTTTGTGGGGGGGCAGTGCAAGCTCTACCAAATATCCACACGACTCTTCGCCACCACCCACACCCAGCTTCCCGCCCTATGACGTTCGGACACTTCACTTCGTGGCCTGCGGACGACCGTGGCTACTACACTGGCGTGGAGTACACACCCACAGAAGTTGTTAAGCCTACGTTCGTACACCCACAGAAGTTGTTAAGCCTTGTTAACCCACAGAAGTTGTTAAGCCTTCCACAGAACATCTGTTGCATATGATGCATATGGTACATGATACACATGATACACATGATACGTACTCACAAGATAGTTGATCACATCTTTAGGGCAAATTCCTGAGGGATGTGGGAATACACAAGAGAGAGAGGATATGGTTGTCCCGATGGTTGTCTCGATGGTTGTCCCGATGGTTGTCCTGATGGTTGTGGTTGTCCCGATCGTTGTCCCGATGATTGTCCCGATGGTTGTCCTGATGGTTGTGCTTGTCCCGATCGTTGTCCCGATGACTGTCCCGATGATTGTCCCGATGGTTGTCCCGATGGTTGTTCCGATGGTTGTCCCGATGGTTGTCCCGATGGTTGTGAGCGATGCCGGATCCTCACGCCCCCCGCCGGAGGAGGAGGAGGAGGAGGAGCAGGACAAGGAGGAAAGGAGAGAAGAGAGAGGAGGGGCGGGAACGGCGCTTGCACGCCCACCCACCGTCTTTTCCCCACCAACCTATGGCGCAACCGCAAGGGATTGTGGCCCCTCGCAGGCGCGCGAACCCCGTTGCAAGAGCGTGCGAAAGTAGCTCGCGCGAGCTCATGTAACATAAATGTTGGAAAACCATTGGTTTTTTAAGGATTCGGACAGCGCGCGCGGGTAGAAATTTTGAAAAGTCGTGCAGGTGTTTTTCGAGGACCTACGGTGCGATTCGTGTGATTTTATGATGCGCGGTGCTAAAATTCTTAAGAAGCCCAATGGTTTTTGGAGATTTCGGCGTGCGCGCGCGAAGAAAAAACGAATGTGTCCCGCATGGTATTATTTGACAGGGATGATGGCCCTGGCAGGTGCGCAACCGTTGTCGCAGAAGTTCGAAAAAGTTGCTCGCAAAAGCCCGTTTGACAGAAATGTTTAAAAAGTGTTGGGTTTCCTACGAATCCGCAAGAGCGCGCGGGATGAGATTTTGACATTTTTTTTGAAAAACCATTGGTTTTTTGATGTTTTTATGTTAAAATCGCTCCGAACACTAAGCTTTTGGAAGGATTTCGTCTTGCGCGCGCGAATGTCCACTTTACCTTATTTTTTGCAAGGGATTCTTGAAATTTGATTATATTAGAACAAGAAATGTCATTTTCTATTGTTTTTTGCAAGGGAAAGCGGATTACAACAAAACAACCGGATCCTGTACACACCCTCTTTTCTGAGGCTTCCTCACGAAAATGATGAAAATGTAGCTGCGGCCTAGGCGGCGCAGGGGGGGCGCGCACCAGGGGGCCCAACAATAATTATTCTTTAGAATAAATAATGTTCAACAACAACAACAACAACAACAACAACAACAACAACAACAACAACAACAACAACAACAACAACAACAACAACAACAACAACAACGACGAAGAATGTTCCCCTGGGTCCTGGGGGTTTTCGCCGTTTTGGGCTTCCCGAGGCCCTCCACGGGCCCTGGGACTACCAGAAGGCGACTCAGGCTGAAGATCTCGTCCTGGGGGAAGGGGCCCCGGGGTCCAGGACCCGTTTCCCTCGGGGCCCGCTTCCCCCCTGCTGCCTCGCGGCGGCGGCCGAGGCCGCGGCAGGCCAGGCGGCAGTCCCCTCCGACCACCGCTGACGGCCCACCCCGCAGGTCTCGCTTGCCGAACTGGCTGCTGCCAATTCCATCCATGACATGGCCGGCAGCGGCGCCCAGGGCCCCCAGACATCTAGGTGCGAGGGTCGAGGTCTTGGGGGCGTGTCTTTCGCATGTCTGTAGCCTCCTGGAGGCGTCTGCTCGCCACGGCTGGATTCTCCTTCAGATTCTGATTAGATCGGGGGTCGATGTTTGATCCCAGGATCCTGGCCATACGGCCAGATCGCAAGCTGGAGACCAAGAGTGCCAGAATCCAGAGCGCTCGTTGCGCCTCGGGGACGTCTTTTGGGGTGGTATCGGCTCGGGGATCGTCGGACTGCCTGGAACCTGAGCGGTTCCTTGAGGCAGAGGGGGTTTGAAATGCGGCGAAGCGAAGTCCAGAACACAGAAACAAAGTCTAGAACCACCGAGCGCGTTCTCCAGAGGCACACAGTCCATGAGAACGATCAGCTAACTCTTGAGAGTCACGCGTATTTTGGCGCTAACCAAAAATAGTTCTCGAACAGCCCAATGGTTGCGAGAATACCACGGACGGTTCTAGATTCCCCAGAATGTTCTGGGGGTTGCCAACCGCGTGCTCGTTTGGATGTGCGAGGTGGACAGCGCCCCCGCATGCGGCATGTGGCGCGATTGCATCCACCCTGAGGCAGGACAGGTCCGCTGGACCAGTTGTTCGCGCCGCATGGATTTCAGCCGAATCCCTAAACTCAGGGATCCCTTGTGCCCCCTTATTTGCGAAGGCTGTTAGACCCGGCGCTCGTTGCCAAGTCCCTTTCCTGGCGGCGTGCCCGTGTTGTTCCTTCTTCTCATCATTTGATCGTCTTCCTGCTCATCCTCCTCCTCGCTTTGTGTGCCCCTCCGCTTCCATCCTGCCTCCTCGAATACCCATTCAGCGAAATACGCAGAACCATCAGATTGCTCCCGCGTGGGTGAATTCGCGCGTGTGCTGAACGCAGCTTTTCCGCCCTCATAGAGGCCATCCTGTCCATCCACATGCCATGTGCGATACACCTCCAGAGGCACCAGCCTCTCCACAACCACTGAAGGGCAGCAGTCAAGTCGCCTATCTGGATTGCTGGGCCTCGGGCGCTAATTACCAGCGCCAACGGAACCACAAAAATGGTCTACGGATGGGGTTTTGCCGTTGAATGTGACTGACGTAGCTTGCTCATTCACAATATGAGGGGCTTCGCCCACCACCGCCGGAACCCCCTCTCTGATTATGACTGGGTCGACGGGGTTGGTTGGCGAGTGGCCGATTGGTTCGCAGGCTGGCATCTCGGCTGGTTGGCTCGCTTTCTGGATGGACGCTTGGCGGGTTGGTTGGCTAGCTGGTTGGTTGAAAGTCTGGTTCGCAGGCTGGCTGGCTGGGTGGTTGGCGGGGTCGGAGCGCTGTTCAAGAAGGGGCCGTGGCCTCGGGAGCGCGGATCCATCGTTTGTACCATGTCGTCTGCCTCGCGCTGCCGTCCCGGTCGAAGGCCCCGAGGTTTGCATCCCCAGTCGAATCGAGTTCCAGGCGTTGTGCTCCACATCTGAAGTGAGGTGGAGCGGGAGAGGTGGCTGGCCGCCCAGCCAGCGCCCTCGACAGCGTGCGGTCTACCTGCAGATGCCCAGGACGGAGGATCCGAGGGGCGGGCTGGTCCCAGGACTCGAGGCCATGCGGAGTCGGGAGGCGTCATCCCCCTTCCAGTGTCTCGTTTTCCCGAATCATCGACGTATCTTTCCCATAAAGGAATATCCGTAAGGGCTTCGCCCTCTGCTGGCCAGTCTCCTCCCTCGTAGAATTGAACATATCAGAGTTAGATTGAGATGTCTTGGCGCCATCTCGAAGACGCATCTGGGAACATCGAGCGACGAGGGTTGGCAATCAGCAAGCATGTTGAGATGTTGGAGTTAACGCTGCGTTTCTGTCCGAGAGCGTTTCCCTCATTTTGTGTAATAGAAGCGCTCTCGGAACAAATGGGCGCTGTGTGAGGCAATATTGCGAAAAATCGCACAGTGGGACTCTATCCGGGGTTCTTGCAGTCTTCGCTATGTTCTAGGACTCGCGGTTGCGGGCCCAGCGCTGAATTTTCAGGAGACGGCGGAGGGCCGAACAGCGCCCCACGAACTCATGTCCAATACAGAAAATGAATGTTTTTATGTTTTGGAGAGGGGGCGGCGCTTTGGGGCAGCCTCCGTGGGTTGGGTTCGTTGCCTCGGGCGCAAGAGTTCGTTGCAGTGTATGAAGGAGTGTGGCCCCGGGAGCGCGAAGCCGTCGTACAGCACAAGGGAGTGTGGCTTTGGTGGCGCGAGTCAGGAATGTGGCCTCGGGATCGCCGACGTGTGGTAATTCAATTAGGATTGTGGTTTCGAGGGCGCGAGTCCGGCGTAATGTCTAACGGGTTGTGGCTTCGGGGGGCGAATACCGATAGGACACCCTACGGGGGATAAAGAAGTTGGTGGAGGGGGAGGGGGAGGCGGTCGATTTGCGAAGGTTCTGAGTTCTTTGGTGGCTTCGTCAACTCTCCTATTGTCGCGCACATCTACCCATCTATCGATTGGCCTATCGATCCACATATGTATCCCGGATGCCCAAATATCGATCTATCGATATGCATACATTTATATGTGTGTATACATATATACATATGCAAATTGGTGCATGCATGCATGTATGTATGTATGTATGTATGTGTGTAGGTATGTATGCATGTATGTATGTTCGCATGTGTGTATGTATGTATTATATATTATATGCATAAGCATGTACCATGTATTTTATAAGTACGCATGTGTGCGTGTACATGATATGTATATATGTATATATATATGCATGTAGAGGTTATGATGCGTACATTAATCTTGGCGTATGTCACTATATGCACCTATATCGGAGGTTGGGGGGTGAGATCGCAGTGTAACGGAGTCCCCCCACCGGGAAATCGAGTTTCGAGTTCGTGTTCGTGCCGTGCGTGCGGGCGAGGCGAAGCTGCGTGGGCCAGCGAGAGGAATTCTTCACGCTTCGCGTATCCCCACCAGCCCATCTCAAAACAGCAACTCTTGCGAAGCATGCCGACAGTCGTGTTTTTCAGGCGTGTTTCCGCTTGCCCCCGCATATCTCCCCTGTTCCTCCTTCCTCCCGCCTCCTTGTACATCCTCCTTGTGGTGGGAGCGGGAGAAGGACGAGTAGTACTAGGTTATGGTAGTAGTAGTAGTAGAAGAAGTAGTAGTAGTAGTAGTAGTAGTAGTCGTAGTAGTAGTAGTAGTAGTAGTAGTAGTAGTCGTAGTGATGGTAGTAGTAGTAGTAGTAGTAGTAGTAGTAGTAGTAGTAGTAGTAGTAGTAGTAGTAGTAGTAGTAGTAGTAGTAGTAGTAGTAGTAGTAGTAGTAGTACTAGAAGTCCGAGTAGTAGTAGTAGTAATAGTTTAACTGGTAGTAGTAGTAGTAGTAGTAGTAGTAGTAGTAGTAGTAGTAGTAGTAGTAGTAGTAGTAGTAGTAACTAGTAGTAGTGGTAGGTGGTAGTAGTAGTTGTTAGTTGTTGTAGTAGTAGTACTAGAAGTACGAAGTAGTAGTAATAGCACTAGCAGTACTAGTACCAGTAGCAGTAGCAGTAGCAGTAGCAGTAGCCGTCGTAGTAGAATTAGTAGTGCTAGTAGTAGTAGTAGCAGTAGTAGCAGTAGTAGCAGTAGTAGTAGTAGTAGTAGTAGTAGTAGTAGTAGTAGTAGTAGTAGTAGTAGTAGTAGTAGTAGTAGTAGTAGTAGTAGTAGTAGTAGTAGTAGTAGTAGTAGTAGTAGTAGTAGTAGTAGTAGTAGTACTAGTAGTAGTAGTAGTAGTAGTAGTAGTAGTAGTAGTACTAGTAGTAGTAGTGGTGGTATTACCAGTATCAGCGGTAGTCGCAAACGTAGTCGTCCACGTCGTCGTCGCAGTAGTTGTCTCAGTAGCAGTAGCAGCCACTAGAGCAGTGGTAGTACTCGTATTAGAAGTAGTGGTGGTAGTAGTAGTAGTAGTAGTAGTAGCCGTAGCACCATGAGTAGAAGTAGTAGTACTAGATTTCGAAGTAGTCGTAGTACTAGTAGTAGTAGTAGTAGTAGTAGTAGTAGTAGTAGTAGTAGTAGTAGTAGTAGTAGTAGTAGTAGTAGTAGTAGCAGTAGTAGTAGTGATGGTAGTCGTAGTAGTAGTAGTAGTAGTAGTAGTAGTAGTAGTGGTAGTAGTCGTGGTAGTAGCAGTACTAGGACTAGTAGTAGTAATAGAAGTAGTAGTCGTAGATGATGTGGTAGTAGTAGAAATAGTAGTACTAGTAGTAGTAGTGGTAGTAGTAGTAGTAGTAGTCGTCGTCGTCGTCGTCGTCGTCGTCGTCGTCGTCGTCGTCGTCGTCGTCGTTGTAGTAGTAGTAGTAGTAGTAGTAGTAGTAGTAGTAGTAGTAGTAGTAGTAGTAAGTAGATGTCTTTGCGGAGCCTCTTGGAGACCTTTAGGGACCTCTTGGGGGCCTCTTGGCGGCCCCAGGGGCTTCGAGAAGCGTCTTGGGTGCCTTTGGGGAGCCTCTTCGGGCTTCTTGGGAGCCTCTTGGAGGCCGTTTGGGGCGTCTTGGGGCCTCTTGGGAGCCTCTTGGGGGCCTCTTGGGGGCCTCTTGGAGGCCTCTTGGGGCCTCTTGGGGCCCTTTGGGAGGTTCCTGGGAGGTATCTTGGGGCCATCTTTCGGGCGATCGATCACAGATGGAGCGGGTTTTTTCTCCCCCCCCCCGTCGGGGCCAGAATCCTCGTGAGGGGTGTCGTTTTTTAGCCCTCCCAGGAGTCGAAAAAGACCCCTCCAACCACCCGCGAAAGGACCTCTCCAGGTCCAGGGGGAGGGGGTAGGGGGAGGGGTAAACCCCTCCCCGAAGGGGAAGAAGGGGGTTGAGAACAGAGCGGGCTCTCTAAACCACTCACGCCCAAAGGGCTGGTGGAATTCACTCTGCTGTCGCTAGGGGTCCGCCAACACAAATGTTTCCCCCCCCGGCCTTGTC